TTATTGTACTAGAGAATCTACAGTCCCCGGATTGTCTTTATAAGAGGAAAAACGTTTTTATTTTTCACATTTTGGGAAAAATCCATTCTCTATAAAAAGTTTTGCTTGTTCTAAAATGGTTAATCCCGTTTATACTTTTCCAAATTTCCGTTTTAGAGGAAATTAAAAAAAACATGAAAATATAGTCGAATTTTTTAAGCCCTAAAAATCAAAATGCGTTTTTATAGTAATATAATTTCGTTTGCGTTCTTTGAGAAATTGTTATTGATAGAATTTTATTTAACGTCACACGGGATTAATCATTTTAGAACAAGCAATTTTTTTATGAAGAATGCATTTTTCTCAAAATGTCAATAATAAAAAAGTGTTTCCTCTTGTAAAGACAGTCCGGGGATATACAACTAGGAGGAGTACCCTAAAGTTCTCTAAAAAATCGAAATGTCACTGCCTTATCGTTACACAACCTACTAAAATGCATGGGAGACAAAAAAAACACTAGAAACTTCAGTCAGTTTAAGAAAATATTTTATTTTAAAATAATTTTATAGCTATTTTAGATACATATAACCCAATTTAACAGCATAAATTTTATACCGTTTCAGAACCAATTTAAACGTACAGTACCGTTTTGTAGGAAGGTACTATAAATAACCCTAGTCCTATTTCCATACCGAAAGAAAAACCGGAATCATTTTCTTCTCCACGGATTTCGTATAAAAAATAACGGTGAATTTCGATATGCTCTAATGGCACCAGCGCCATCTGCCGGCAATTTCGCCATCGTAAAATGACGCTACGACCGTTGTAAATAAGATATTAGATGCTGCGCTTCCTATCGGCAGGCACCATGTGACGAGAAAAATGCCAATCGCATAATTGAAGAGCATTTTCCGGTAGCCGCAATTAAAATGTGATTCATCATCGATGACCTCTGCATCCGCTATGTTTATAGTCCATTAGAAATTGCGATAATTATTATTATGGCATACCGTGCGGCGATAGTTTTTGCCTAGCTGTAGAAAATTATAATATTTAATATTTTAATTTTAATGGTTCGAAGTCTGCCACAGTTAGATGCATAAATTATTATAATGTGTGTTTGACCAATGTGTACTACCAGTGACGAACAATGCATGCAAAACCTGGACACTTAAAACGGACATAAAAAGCAAACTGCGAGTCGCACAACATTCAATGGAACGAAAAATGCTTGGAATAAGCAAGAGAGACCGTAAAATAATAAAGTAATAGAGTGGATACGACAAAAGACCCAGGTAATAGATGGTCAAATCCCTCAAGTGGCAATGGGCAGGATACCTGGCAAGAGGCACGAACAGGAATTAGCAGGGATTGTGCCGCATAGCCAACAATAGACAACAATGGGTCCAACTACAAAGAGAGTACCAAAATATGTGAGGTGGCCTACACCATAATTGGAAATGGTTGAATAAGCTGAAAATGATGATGATATTTTACTGTAAACTACTTTTATCTTGAGGAAGATGCGGATCATCCGGCATTACTCTCCACATTAAGGAAGCAAAGACATCAATCCTACAACATGGATTTTGTTTAGTTGGGTGCATAGTAAAATCAACTACTTTGAATCACTAGGTGACTGATTAGATTATATAATTTCTAGATCCCTTCAAGCTCTTCCAGACATATTTCTACATTTTACAACGATGCCCTTCATAACATTTTGTTGTTAATGTTAATATTGTCAATAATTAGTAGAAGTTTTTAGTCACTGTTTCACTAGAGTATCAAAAAAATACACAACGGAGCAAATGGTGTAAGCTTTACGTTTAGACTAACTAGGCATTTATTAAATTGATTAAATCGAGAAAGCATTTAGCTTCATTAGGAGACTTACTCTTGATGTATAAATGAAGCAGCATATAAATTATTTCACTTTGGCTTTATAATTTAAAAACATAGAATTTTGCCAAAACACACTATAACATTTTATTTTAAACTATGGACGCACGTTTCATTAATCACAAGTCAACATCATAATCAAGTAACTAAACTAAACTTAGTTTTTGAATAAACTATTAGCAAAGTCCATAGACTTTCTCAACTCTGTGCTCTGCTCATAATCTTAAATGGTTGGTACAGGAGTCCAAGGTTTATCGTAACTTTCCTGTCAATTAATATTGACAAAGAACCGGTACATTATCACAAAATTGTAGTATTTAGAATATTTCTTCAACGACCATCTGATTAAACTAATTTGCGAATCTTATTACATTTGAATTTCATTGATTTCATCTATTGAGGTTGACAGTAGAAAGTACTAGATAAATATAATATTAATGATGGTAGTATTACTTAGTTATCTACGTTACTCTAACTACTGAATTAGTCAAGATGTCAATTTAATATTACATGTTTAAAATTTTGTACAAATCCTAGCTTTGTGGGAAGAGAATTGCGTTCACAAAAGAACATACAGTAAAAGTAGGGTGCTTGCCAACTTACTTGGATGCTACGATGCCTTCTAACTTGACTTGGATAAAACAGTTGATATCATACAAACAGCGTAAAAGTGAGACGCGCGCTACATCCATATAAACATATTTATATGTACAGGGTATCCCATTTTCGTTGAAATCATACGGTATCTCCGTTATTAGTAAAGATAGGAGGATGCAGTTTGCACAAACCTGTCCCACTTTTTTATCAAACGGAAGATCTTGTAAACAAAATTTTTATAGCGTTCTTTGTTTCTGAGTTACAAGGTCTTTTCAAAAATTTTGCAGTTTGAGACAGCCCCCGTATCTCCGTTATTGTGGATGATATTCAGAAGGTGAAAACTGATTCTTGTCGAACTCTTTACCTAAAATACAGTGGCGTAGTCTGTTTTTCTATGAAAAAATTATTTTTGAAAATATGAACTAAAGTTATGTGTCTTCAAATGAAACACCCTGTATATTTATAAATCATATGTTCCGTTTTGCTATCAGCTTCTCAAAAATATATATTACTCTATATTTATTTTCACTGCAATATTTAAAATATATCATTTTCTTATTAGTAGACTGTGATAAATAACAAAGAAATCAAAATTGTATTTACTAAAATAGACATACACACATTAAAATTTTATTTGGGATTGATATATTTTACCTTTGAACTTTTACCACTGAATCTCTGAATATATTTTTCTTCTTTTATAACGGAATGGGTATGCAAATCTCTAAAAGCTTGCATTATAAAGCATTTTTCAGGTGTTCGACATTGTTCTAGTTGCCACGATATATTTCATATTTCAAAAGTCAACAAAATCAGAAAGGTGCCCGGTGGCGTAGAGGTACAGGCTCTCGTCTACCAATCCGAAGGTAGTGGGTTTGAATCCCACACCCGGCAATTCATCAGCCGACTATTTTTATTAAAATAAAAATAGTTTGGGCACCTAGGTCGACTCAGCCTTAAATGAGTACCTTAAATGAGGAATCAGGGAAGCCATCATATGGGTCCATTAGTTCTAATTCATTGATTTGAGAAATAATCATTTAACAAATTTCTAATATTTTCAAAGTTATGAGGGGGAGCCCCATCTTGTACCTATATTTCACGTAAATTAGCTAAAGGAATATCTAAAAGTTCCGGTACGATAGCTTCTCAGATTTACAAATAGCGGTATAGAGTGGTAGTGAATTGCGGTAGTGGCTCCCGAAATAAAACAAGAGACAGATAGCAGTGTACTTTTAATAATTCTTTAGTTTTCTTTGTATTATCAATCATGGCGTACTAATAAATATGATCTTTTAATATAAACTTTTAAATATTGCAGTAAAAACTGAAAATCAATATAGAGTAATATATATTTTTGAGAAGCGTATGGCAAGCCAGATCATATAATTTATAAATATATAGGGTGTTCCAGTTAAGAAAACATAACTTTAGTTCATGCAGAACAGACCACGCCACTGTATTCCACGTAAAAACGCCACTGTCTACAATAAACAGTTTTCACCTTCTCGATACCTTTAACAATAAAAGAGATACAGGGGTGTCCCAAATTGCAAAAATTTCAAAAAGATCCTGTAGCTCAAAAACGAAGAAGGCTATGAAAATTTTGTTTACTGCATCTTCCGTTTGACAAAAAAGCGGGACAGGTTTGTAACCGCAGCCCTCTATCTTCACTAATAACGGAGATACTTTGTTAAGAGTCACTTGGTCCGTGTCAACCAGGCTGTAATACTTACTATTCTAATGCCGTGTCCAGACCAAGGTGACAAAAAGTAAACACGATTTTGAGACAAAAACAAGTCACAAACTTGTCACAAAAAATGGGGACTTTGACAAGACAATCTTGAGACAAATTGTTCACACCGCAATGACAAAAGTACAACAAAGTTAAAAGTTTAGTTGTTGCGAATGAACTTTATTAACCATAACCATGTATGATTTCACTGGTTTCCTACTGTTGGCAGCACACGCCCTCCACACTGCATCGATAACTTGTCGCAAAATATACGAACAAAACATGACACTTTGATCTTTACCGACTCGAGACGGGACATTGAAAAGTCTCCGAATTTTGAAACAAAATAAAAATGAGACAAAAATGCCGCAGAAACGTATTGGATTTGTCACAACGTTGTTGTAAAACATGAATGTCACTGTCACTGTTTTGAAGTCTTGTCACTGTTTTGTCCGCTTGGTCTGGACCCGGCATAACGAACTAAGAATTGAAGTATGAAGATGATACTTTTATACAATAATTTTCTCCGAGAAACTGAAACTCGCAAATTTATCAGCACTGTTAAGAAAACCTGACGAGAAAACATCTCAGTTATCTCAGTAAGATCGAGTGATTTAGCCATATTTAGCCAGTCAATTAAAGAGTTGTATCAGTTTCACACATTTAAGTATTGGTTCCGCATTTGTTTTATGAATAAACATATTATCTTGACGCACTCGTCTTCTCGACGAACATTTTCTCGGAAAATTAGATTTTTAGGAAGAAGATATTAATTTTAGCGACTTACCTGTACACTTGAGTTCTTTGGCGAGTTCGTCCGAGCCGAGGTAACAGTTTGGCGTGCCGTCGCACAGTTTTGACAGTTCGAACAGCTGCAGAACGTCCGTCGATTCATTCACTTGACAACCGAAATATCCGTCCTCGAGGTTCAGAAAAAATACTTCGCGTTTTATACCGAATCCAATCCCACCGAAGGATTGGGAAGTCTGAAACAAAAATAGTAAATATTAGTATAATTAATCAGTAGGTAAATATAAAATTATTTTTAAAAAATATGTTTTAACCATAACACATTTACGCATTTCCATGTGGTCTATCTGTTGTTCATAGTAGACCATATGGATAGAGCAAAACACTGTCCAGAATGTAGCACACAGTAAACTAATGTTTATGTTAGTCACCAAATTTAATATACCGGGTGCATCTCAAAAGTGGCTCACCCCTATAACTTTTTTATTTTTTTTTTAGATAAAAAAAACGAGATTTGGTATGTTAGTATGACATAAATTAGGATTGATTGACGTATTCAATTGTTTTTAGTCATTTCCTGTTTCACCGGAAATGACTACAACTTTTTGTTACTTTATTCGATAGAAAATGACACTCTGAATAAATTAAGGCTGTATTCCATTGCAAAACCAGGCGAACCAAACCGGTAAACTACACCGATAAAGAGCGGCTTCCTGAAAAACATCGGTTTGATACGGAACGGTTTGGTAAAATACTGGAAACGTCAAATGTTGACGTTTTCTAAATTTCAGTACATCTATTATAAAATTTATCTTTTATGCATTTTTAATATACATATTCTCTGCTTTTACGTTTGCTTCTTCTTTTCAATGGAGTTTAATATTGAAATGTACTTTATTAATAAACTGTTAAACTCGTTAGACAGCTGAAGTGAAGATTTGCAGGTTTGGTTTCGTATTAATATTAAAACAGATCAATAATAAATAAACAAATCTAATCAATATTTATATTTTTATAGCTTACAAAACATTCACGATTATTTGTTGTCTAGTTTTTCATGAATTCTTTATATGTTCCTGACTTTATGAAACAATGGCTGCATGATAAGTTTAAATGATCCTAAAAAGCCATTCATTTAGTTAATGAAATTTATTTACCTTTACTGCGTACCTCCATTGCTTTTGGATGTAAATATAAAATATTATTACAAATTTTAGAAATTAAATGAGAATTTCATTCACCGTATTTCCGTAGTTCTGTAATAAGAAAACTTTCAGGAAACCGATAGAAACGGAACATAAAACCATAACCTAGGTAAGCAACGGAATACACACTAACATATCATATGTCAACTTTTGGCATTTTCACTTAAAAACAAAATTGTATTTTAAATTTCAATCTAGAGTTTTTGTTAAAGGTTTTAGGTTAGAGGCTTTGTTAAAAAGACTAATTTTTAATCAAAGAACCTTGAAAAAATAAATTTGATCGTCTAATGTCTTTAGTATCTTGTCTTCGCTGGTTAAAAGATGCCCAAATCGTATTTTTAATCATACTTCAATTTTTTCAAATGGAACGAGGGTGGCTCATTGGCATATTTGGAAAAAGCATTTTTTACGAATAATTTAGTACCACACACTTGGTATTTCGAGTCAAATTGTCCTTATGAATCGCATGTTGCAATTTCAAATAAACCATATTCGAAAATGTCAAAAGTTGACATATGATATGTCATTCTATTCAGAGTGTCATTTTTTATCGAATAAAGTAACAAAATACCGAGTGTGCCTTTTAAAAATCAAAAGTTTTAGTAATTTCCGGTGAAATAGGAAGTGACAGAAAACAATTGAATATGTCAATCAATTTTAATTTATGTCATATACTAACATAACAAATCTCAGATGCACCTGGTATAACAATACTTCAACTAACACAAGTTCATTTGATCCAAAATTTTAAGTTTAACAAACAGTTTAATAGGTGAATATACAGATTTGCTGTAACTCAGCGGCAAGAATATCTGCTTGGTACCCGTGAGTACTGGGTTTGACGCCTAGCCAGTATGGTCACTTTATTATTTCTTGAAATAATAGTACTATTTAGTTAAATGGAGTTATCGTCATGAAGTTAGTACAAGATAATGACAGTATATATGAATATATTTGTCTCGTATTGCGTCTCATTTACTGCTGTTCGGACTCGGCGATAAAATGTAGGTCCCATATACTTGTTAAAAACTGATGATCGATTAGATTTTAAGATAGATATTGACCTCTTCCACTGCAACCTTTAGATATCTGTTATGGTCCTTTTCTGACCTCTGGGTTACATTTTCCAGTTCTATCCTTTTCAAAAAACCTAATAAATTGGAGACTGTATCCTCCATATAGTTTATTGTCAATGGCTTGTCATTTCCTAATACACACAACCGTACATTTATCAGGACTGACATGAACTTGCTGATTGTCCAAATATTACACCAGTTTAAGATGCCTATTGAGCTTGCTGATAGTATACCCACTACAATTTTGAGAGTCTTTGTGCTTATCAGATCTGAAGATATGTAGAATGAATGGGAGGATGGTTAATCACTGCGAGCTTACAGATCTATTGCGTCCCCCTTTCTTGAGTTATAACTCATCATAGAGTGTCATGGCTTAAAGATCTATTGTGTCCCTCTTCCTTGAGTCCTCCTTCCAAAAGCCAGTATCTGGGACGGTTTGAAAGAGGTTAGTTCTCCATTAAATCAAGGAAAATCTATAATTTTTCTCGGTCGTAAGTTCTGAGAAATTTCTTCGAGTGTCTTAGACCGTTGGATGATTCCCATTCCATGTTACGGATGGGGGCTTCTGAGTTCCGCTTTAAGTTGGTTTCCACTAGGGAAGCAGAACGGTTCTGGTCCAGTTAGTGGTGTATGTTCCTTTTCTAGCTAGATCGTTTACTTTTTCATTGCCTTCTATCCCTTGGTTGGCTGACCCAGCCAACCAATTTTGCCTAATTTGTCTGGAAAGATACACAAGAAGATACATCACAGATATATTATATAGCATTGCACTACAAGAAAAAGAAAACATCTAAAAAATTTTAAACCATTGCAATAAAATGATTATGCAAAAAATACTGCATTGCTTGACTACCATTAAAGCTTTAGTGATTTAGTGGTTTTCAGCTTATTCCATTTTTATGAGAAATGTAGTTAAACACGGCTTGCACATTCTCTTTTCCCTGGGACAGTAATTTCTAGAAAGATTGGAAAAATAATTAATAAAAAACAACGTTGAAAAAAGATGTGGACAAAGATGTAGCATTAGAAGAAGAAGAAATGTTTTGTTCATTTAATTATTATTTCATATCGTAATTATGTCTCAGTAAGCGAAATACTTGACTGAAATACCTATTTTCAGACAATCGCGGAGCTCTTTAACCTATACCGCAAACACTATCAGAACACATTCCGTATAGAACAAACCGTGTAATACTTTAACGTAACAAGACAAGACAGGGTCCGTTATCGCCACATGTAAACAATATGTCGCGCTCTTAATGATAGCAGCGGTGGCGGATGGATTCTCCAGGTATCGGTCGCTCGTGCATGTCATTAAAACGATTTTTGACGTTTGAAGATGTTCGACAACACCTCGTCGACATTCCGACGAGTCATATTTACAGTAATTTTCATAAGTAAACGTCGGTTAACGGTGAGACTGTTAGTCTTTGCGTCGGCCGAGCGAGCCATTCGTGACCAATTATTGTTGTTGTTGGTGTGTATCTCGGGTATTGTTGGTGCTTTTTACCGGAGGACGGAGATGATATATCAAAGCGGTAGGGGAGACGGGCTTACGATGGCTTGTTGCGGTAAAAAGATTTTTGATGTTTGGCCAAAAACTGCGGTTTAACTCAAAGTTAATATTTTTGTAGCCTATACTAAGAATCTTTAAATACAAAAATTAAGGAAAGTGCATATAAACAAATTAGATTGAGCGTTATTAAATAGGAACTATTGGAAACAAGAATAGCCATCTAATCCGATAGCATGCTGCATTAAAAGCGATCAACTCAGTAACCATACATTCGACGTTGGTCAAAGAATACCTAGAGAAGCTGAATAAAAAGTCTTCCTCTTTTGGGTACCAGCCTACCAAGGGATAGAAGATAATGAAAAAGTAAAGGATCTAGCTAGAAAAGGGGAGAATACTCCATTAACTGCACCAGAACTCTACTGCTTCCCAAGTGGAAACCAACTTAAAGCGGAGCTCAAGAACCTGGAAGAGTCCATCCGTAATCTTGAATGGAAATCCTCCAACGATCTAAGACTCTCGAAGAAATTTCCTAGGAATTACGTAAGAACAATCTTCGGATTTCCACGGGGTGTTTACCAGAACAGTGTCTCCTCAATGAACAGCGAGTATATTGAATTTAACAACCAACGGTGAATGCAGATTCTGCGGGGAAAATGGGGAAACACCAGAACATCTCTTCATCATCACATCAACTTCCCCCATCCCATACAATCTATACCAAAAGGAATATTATATCAAAAACTACATTTTGGTGCTGCAAATCTGATCGGGATTCGTCAAGCGTGTATAAATACGGCAAATATTAATAAATGATTGAAAAACAATTAAATTATTAGAAGTATTTATTTATTATATTTTTAGTATAATAAGTATAGTCATAATAATTATTAATGTTTAATCTATAAGATATATGCAGTAGTCCATTTCTGAGACACTTTTTTAAATGGGCCTATTGATCATTCAGTAGTATGATATAAAGTTTATTTTCAATTTAAAGAAATAGTTTTAATTATGCTTTAATCGGTAGTAAACATTCAGGAGATTTTTTATAAATAAGGCCGTCATTCATTTGAAAGTTTACAATTTGACGTTACTCTCTCAAAACCACTAATTTATTACAATACTCTAAAACACTTTATTTTTAACACTGGACGCGCGTTTCGCTAACCACGTTAACATTATCATTTAGTTAGCATATGATTACAACTTAAATGTAAGAATTTATAAAATATACAGGGTTGTTCGCCATATATGATATGAAGTATTGTAGCTAAACGATTAGATTTTTTTAGATTCGTTGAAGGACTATTAGAGCTACAATTTTACAATATTTTTACGAGACATCGATTGTCCCAAATATATAAAAAATATCAAAGTTTTTATTTTTAAATGGAACACCCTGTACATTATTACATTTTCAGATTCTACGATTAAAATAA